GGGCGTGAAGGGAGGGCTAGGAATGGGGAAAAAATAAGAACCAAGATGCATTATATGAAGGTACAGTTCCCAATGAGAAATGTAATTGTGTTGTATACCTACTATGTACCAATAAATGAATTTAATACAAAAAAAAATGATCAACTCTCGGTCTAGGCTTCCAGCCTACTAAATCATAATTTTGAAAGTATGCCTAGAAAAGTTTATAATCCTTTACAAGAACTATAAGTTGATCCTAATGCACAGGCAATCTAAGATCCACTGAAGAGGAATTCATGCTTCCTGAAGATTTTACCCAAGATTTCCGGGTGTCATTGAATGGTGAGAATCAAAAAGCATACAGCAAAATACCACATGTCTCTTTCAGAGTTCCATGAATGGAAAACCAAGTCGACCTTGTATTATTCCTTCAAAATCGGTGTCACAATCATTTCTTGAGCATCTGATCTGGTCTAAGTCTTGTAAATATGTAGGGTCAATGTAGTAGTTAGGAAAATGAAAGCAGGTGTTTCTCACCAAATGGCAGAAAGAAGAAAACGTGTCCTTCTCTACAAGCCAGCGGAGAAGACAGTGAAAGGGAGAACCATTCAGGTTGGGGTCTTCCTTCCCAAGCACACCTATCAGAAGTCTTCCCACTTGTCTTGACAGGAAGATGTGAAATAAGGACAGCACATCAAATTGGCATGTGTAGGAAGTATTTCCCTCTCCATCAATGGTTAATGGGCCTTACGGGAAAGTGAAAAGTTTTGCATGGGAAGTTTAGAGTGAAATGAGAGAAATAAAGCCAAGAATGACAAGTGAATTCAAATGAACATCAGACTGAGAAAGTTTAGATTCTCCACACCAGACAAAGAGTCATCAGAGGACATGAAGTCAATGCACGGAAAGATCAGCTTTGTCTATTTAGGATGACAACTCTGGCACTAGCATGTGATCTGAAATAGAAAAGAAGTGTTATCAGAGAAAGTAGCTGAGAGGGTATTGCAGTGATTTAAGGTGGAAACTGACAAGGCCTGAATGAACACCATAGCAAAAGAAACGAGAGGGCATATTCTGCAGGTCATTCTATAAGATAACGGATATAAATCAGTGTGGAAGAGATATGGAAGATCTAGTATGGTATTCCAGTTCGACAGATTTAATGCAACATGATATCAAGATATAAGATTTCCATGACAGTAGACAGTGAGCTGTCTTTCAGATGTTTATTGGGCCGTTACATAGCTAATACCTGTCCTAGTCCTCCAGGATACTGTGCCAAAATACCATCTGCTGAGTAGCTTATAAACAACAGAAACTTACTCTTTACAGCTCTGGTCACTCATAAGTCCAAGATCAAGGTGCCAGCAGATTTGATCTCTGTTGAAAGTTCCACTCCTGGTTCAAAAACAGTGCCTTCCTACTGTTTTCTCTTATAGTGGAAGGGACTAGAGGCTCTACATTTCTTTTATAAAGAGTACTAATTCCATGAATGAGGGCACAATCCTCATGAACCATCCGCCAAAGGCCCCCCTCCTAGTACTAGGAGTTGCTATTTTAACTGATGAATTTGGGGGGAATGCAAGCATTTAGAACGTACCACGATCCAAGATGTAAGGACAGCTCTTCAGTTGAGGCTCAGACTGGCTGGGTCCCTTCATTTCAGAAACCAAGGAGGACTGATTGTATTACTTTTCTCTTGGGCAGTTTCACAATCTTTCCTATCTTTTGGGAAGGGATTCAATACTGACTGAAAAGAGAGAACATATTTTTGTCAATATCCCTTTTCTTCAAGAGTACAAAGTGAAGAACAATGAAAAAAGAAAAAGTAATAAAACCTGCATCATTTTCAAGATATTAAAATATATTGTGGAGAATCACATTTGACAATAGTGAAAAGCTATTAGCTCAGAGGGGGTTTGAGACATGATTATTCAAATGCCATCATTTCAAAATGAACAACCCTGGCAATGTTATCACAGAGAAAAAATTCTGCCTGTCACTTTAGACAAATACCATGGCTCTCTTTCCCTTTAATTTGCTTTATTCTTTTCCATTTATCACCACCAACTCCATAGCTCTTAGCACCTTTATTTTTTATATTTTATAGTTGCCTTTCTGCATGAGAATACAAGTGCCCTCAGAGCAGGCAATTCCATACTATAACCTTATAATATAGACTCATTCTTGCCACATAGTCACTCAATGATTTATAAAAATATATGAATGAAGGGCCAGGGATTTAGCTCAGTGGTGCTGCTGCCTGCCTCACAAGTGCAAGGTCCTGAGTTTGGACTCTGGTACCAAAAAAAAATAAATATATGAATGAATGCATATCAAAATTATATTATAAATTCCGATTTTCCAATGTTGCTATGCTGAAAACCTTGCAAGTTAAACAGGTTTGTTCCTTGCTTCTGAAGCTTCGGACCTGACTACAGTACTTTGTTTGCAACACCTCTCAGAGTACACACATAGTTTCTTCTAAATGTAATTTTATCTCATGATCTGACTTTAAGATCCACCGTGGATTGGACTTGACAACATCTAGTTTAAAGATGAGGATACATTTATAACATGTTCAGATGCCAACAAGCAATTCAGCCAACCAAATCACTTTTGGAAATTTGAAATGGAAAACCTAAAGAGAACAAAGCATGAGCAGCTGGAGCTAAAGCCAAGAAAAGATGTGAAGTAGAGTTAAGGCCATGAAAACTGAGGTACATTATAAGCTAAGACTTTAGGAACTATGAAAAACCCATGTTCTTAAAAAGCAGAAACTATGAATAAGCAGAAGCTACAAGTATAGAAAATTTAAATTGATTATCGGGAATCAACCAGTCAATAATAATTCATCATTGCCATGAGACAACTGTTTGTTTCTCTATCTTATCCAGCTTGTGGTCACTGTTGGGTTTCAATTATGTGGGGGTTTTTTCCTAAAACAATTTTATTCAACTAAAAATTTCCATACCACACAATTTACAAACCCAAAATGTAAGATTCAATAGATTTTAGCCCATTGACAGAGTTGTACAACTATAACCATAATCAAACGTAGATATCTTTTGTTATCCCAAATCAAAACACTGCCTATTAGCTGTCATCTCTCAACCCCTCACCTCTAAGTCTAGGTAACCACTGAGCCCCTCTCTGTCTTCATAGATTTTCCTATTCTGGGCATATGTTTTTCAAAATAAGCTATGCTCATAACAACATCAAAGACCTTAATCAGAGAAATGTAAATCCTTCAAAGTGAGCTCTCACACCATATTAGAGTAAAATTAGAAACCGACAACAAAAACATACTTAAAATATAATTGTTTTCATAAATTTTTATTTAATGTAGTTTGAATCTATAAAAAATATTGTTGCAGACACATGGTTATGCATATTCAATATTAATTTATCCTAATTATAAATACATTTCAGTGTTTCCATACCTTTTAAAATACCATGAAACATTTAATTTTTGGCAAAATATAACACAATTCACATGTGATTCTATTAAGTGGAAGTAGATTAAATATATAGAGTTATACACACTGGGATGAAGGGGAAGAAATGAGAAACAAGTTGGTTCTCTCTTCTTGTGAGAGACCTCTGCTACTGTTTCTTCTCTACTCCCGAGTTCTCTCCCTACTCCTGGCCGTTACTCTCTTCCCTTATCCTCATGAAATAATTGATAAAACATTGCCTTTTGGCATGGTTCAAACATGATTCAAAGAGGAGAAGGAGAAGAAAAACTAAAGAACTTAACTCAAACTCATCTTCCTTCAGGTTTGAGTAAGAACAGCTCTGTTCTGAAAATCATCCCCTCAGACTTGCAAATGGAAACTGACACCCACAGACCCATCAGTGGCTCTGAGTCCAAATTTAAGATCTAAGCTCAAAGCTTCATCAAAAACAGTCCCATTTGATATCCAAGCTTAGAAGTAACTTAGTTGCACACCTGGGAAGAAGCATATTTCTCTAAGATTATCAAACATTGATCAATTACTACATAGGTGAGTCCTTGCAGTGATATTTTTCCTTTAACTTCTCAGTAAATAAAACTTAATCTCTCTGATAAATTGTATAATCATTTGTTCCTAGAAACTTTAAAACTCTTTAACATCAGAATAACATTAGAGCAAACAAAAGTGTTCTGGCCCTTCATTTTTTTTCCTTCACACTGAGCAACATTCTTGATTTTTATTATTATTATTATCATTATCACTATTAATTTTGAGACAGGGTCTTGTTAATTCTCTAAATTGTACAGGCTGGTCTAGAATTTAAAATCCTCGTGCCTCCCAGAATTCTGGGATTATAGGCATGTTCCAGCAGGCCCACCTTGGATTTCAAATTCATTGAGTCAAGATAAGAAATAAAAACCATGCTTAGTATTCCATAGTAAGTCTCCTATTAAAGGGACAAAATCCATTAGTTGAAAACAAAATATAGCTCAAATGAATGCACAAAAATTAAAATGATGATTTTTGTATTTATCTTCGGAAAGTGATGATTTCCTAGCTCTTAAAATTGCCTTCCTTTCTATTCTTTCATCCCTTTTCCTCTTTTTTGATCACATGATCCTGAAAGACTTCCAGAAAGGTGAACTGAAATTCACAGGTAAGGAAGCATTGAAAATACTGCAGAGAAAAATAAAATCAGACTGTTTCCCTAAGTCTAAAATTCCTCATTAATTAAAAATATCTGATGGCCAGACATTAAAAATACAAATTCGACAATCCATCCCTTGAAGGGGAGAAGCTTTTTTGAATAAATATAGAGGCCATGTATTTTTCAGCTAAAGCAGAAAATGAAAAAAAAAAAGAAAAGAAAAGAAATGCTAGCTTTCTTAAGAAAAAAATAATTGAAAGAAAAATATCCCCAAGTAGATGTGTTCATGGTATATGTGTGTCACATCATTTTCATAAAAATTGCAGTTTGAAAGTCTGATTGCTCTGATAATTAAGAGTAAAGAGCCCATTATAAACTTGTGTCTAGATTTTCTGTCTCCTTCCTGTTTTAATCATGATCAAATTTGAATTTCACTGAGGCCATTTAGAATTCACTGCAGGAACACAGCTTATGCTGCCCGATGAGAAGCCCTGTACCGCTGTCGTGGCTGTACCTGGCTACATGCTGCCCTGCCCCGAGGCCTCCGTGCCTGGAGCCTCATCCTCCAAACAGGAAGTGAACTGGAATAAACTCACTGCTGTCAGAGCGGGGCCTGGCTGATATCAATGGGTGGGACAAAAGAAATCTTAGTTTGTAAAATTTAAATGCCATCTTTTATGAATAATGTGTGAGCACAAAGTCATTTTCATTGTCCTGTTTTCATTTTCTAGATGAAAATTTTAGAGGAAAAGTACAAGATAGACTCATAGAAGGTAGGCAAGATCAGATTAGCTGGACAAGGGAAATAATTCCTAATGAGCCAGTGTATTTTTTTTCTATTCGTATGAATTTCTTAACGCTAACTTCACTCATCTTTTCTTTATGAAAGAAATATTTTATGAGCAGAAGTTATGGGCCGGGAGCATTAAGGTTAAAGGGATAAGGATAAAAGTATGGGTTTTTTAGTTTGGGTTGTTTAGTAGTAAAAAAGTTTGAGTTGTTTAGTAGTAAGGAAGAGAGATGAAAATCCTTTGCAACTGATCAGATCATATTTGGGGAAAACAGAGGTTAGCAGCAGTTATGCAAAACTAAAAAACAGAGAAGAAAGTTTAAGATGGTACCCTCCAGGAATGTTAAAAGCTCAAGAGGGTGTGGGAGGATGCTGGAAATGATGCCCAACGGGTGGGCAGAGCTGAGCCATAAAATCTCGGATCTGCTAAGTAAAGGAATTTGTATTTTATTCTGAAATTGATGGACTTCACAAAACCTACAGTCTTGAAGCCTGAAGCCATTCATAGTCCCTCTTCTCATAGAATGAATTTTGCATTCTTTAGAAATACAATTTTCCTTATTTTTTACAATAGTATTATAAAAATTCCAATTCCCCTCATTGGCTATATTATTCCTACAGCATTTTAAACTGTAACTACTATTTATGTATCCTGTCTCACTTTCTTTGAAGATTTAAATTTCTTTCCATAGTTTTAAGATCTCTAAGACAACCTAGAGTGGTATTTATTTTAATCTTTCCTATTTCTTCTTTCTTAAATTTTTTGGGGGGTACCAGGAATCGAACTGAGGATCTTGCGCTTGTGAGGCAGGTGCGGTGCCACTGAGATAAATCCCTGGCCCTTATTTCCTCTTTCTTAAAGGAGTTGGTGTTGGCTTTCAAAAGATGCAGGAAAAAATATCCTGATTTCAAAGGGATGTTAGAAAATAACTGAAAACAAATGGATGCACCTTGCGAGCATGATATGAGGTGAACTCAATCAGACACACAAGCTTAAATATCACATGGTTTCTCTCATATCAGAAACCCAAAATATAAAAGAAGAGCAGAATAAAAGACAGATAACAGGCAGTAGGGAGATCTTTTTCAAATGCAAAGGGGAAGAAGAGATGGAGTGTAGAGGAGGGAGAGGAAGGAAAGGGCACGGAAAAAAGACTTGAAGGAAAAATGGAAATAAGAAGTTTCACAAATGGGAAGGGGAGAAAGAGTTGAAAGGAGCAGGGAGGGATGGGAGGGGTCGGAGATGACAAAACAGTTAAGCTGTGTTATGGACATGGACCAACTCTCAACAATGACTACGTACTGAGAAAAATTTTAATTAGAAAAAGAAAATAACTGAAAAGAGAAGCAATGTCGACTGACAATCTTCTATCACCTCAATCAGGTTTTCCGTGAATTTCAATACATCTTACATATGATGGGACTGATTCATTTTTAAGTAATTTCACAATTTTGTAAAGGAAAAATGTTTATTAAAAGATAAGTAGATTGGGCAGGAAAATAAAAACACAACTAAAAAACAAAACAAATGCAACTGAAGACTGTGGATTCTTCAGTGGAAGTTCTAGTTTTGTCACTGATAGAATGCTTGTTAACTCACTTAATGAGGAGAATCAGATTATGAGGATTTAAGCTTTCCATCTGTAGCCAATATGTAGAGTGCTATTCAGTTAGAATAAAATGTAATATCAGCATCTAATGGTGTGTCAAAAATTTCACTCTAAGCTTGAAACAAATATGAAACATTTGATATAAATGTTAATCATATATGAGAAGTTATGTACTGTAATATTTGGTAAGTAAATATATCACCAGTAAAATATGGTGTCTCTCAATACTAGTTAGAAACCTAATACTGAAATGAAAATATAGATCTGTATTTTGACTAATTCTAATATTTCCAAGTCAATATTAGCTTAAACTATACATTAGAAATGTTTTTTTCATTTTCTTCATAGAAAGACAAAATGTATCAGCATTAATACATTTTTATTCTAATACAAGAATTATATTGGCATTATATTCTGTGTTCACACAAAATTATAAATTATTTTAAAAAATAAATCTAGTGACAAATAGACATATAAAATAACTGATTCTGAGAATAATCATGTTAAGAAAAATTTTTCTTCTTAATATATTGCTTTATTTTTTTCAAGACAGGTTGGCCTTGAACTCACTGGCCTTTTTTTATAGCCCAGGCTGGCCTTGAACTCACTATGTCATACAGGCTGGCCTCAAACTCATGGCGCTCCTACTGCCTTGGCCTCTTGAGTGCACCACCAAACCCAGCTCGATATATTGCATTAAATAACATCTCTGATTGTACATTTTGATATTTAATCAGTGAAATCTAAAATTAAGTTCATGTAGATATAAATAATCCCAAGAAAATTATTTTTACCAAACAAAATGCACTAAAAACCTTTAGACTTATTTTAAATTCTCTTAGTATCATTTTGTTTCTCATTTAAAAGCAAACAAAATCGATACAGAGACTACATAAGAAAACATGTCAGAGAGTTGAGGGTCATCAAACATACGTGAAGGTAGTCTTATTTTATAGGATATTTAGGTAAGGTAAGTGTTTTTGTATTAAAATAACCAGATTTCAGAGGCTGTGTGGGTAGAGACTGCAAACTGCTTCGAGAACCTTTTGGGAAAGATCCACATAGATGAAACTTGGCAGTGGGAAGATGCAAAGGGTGATTACGGCTCACAATAGCTACAAAACTGGTGATTAGAAAGAAAAGATAAAAGTGGAAGAAGAAAGAGAAGATAATGCGTAACAGCTGGGCAATTTTTGAATGAGGTTAAATAATTTGTTTTGTTATATTTCCATTGTAAATCCAATTCCTCTGTTTAATGTATAATCAGTTTACTGAAGAGTTTGAAGTCATCATGGTAACAAGCATAAAACAATTTTAATTGTCTCAATAATTACCTTTCGACTTTGCTATGTTATTCTACTTAATGGTATTCTGGCTGAAGTGCAACCCTTTCTTGTTACATTTGGCAGTTGTGACTGCTTATTTTGAAGACTCACTTTTCCACAATTCATCCCGATTTGCTTCTTTCCTTGTGTGCTGTGCGCTCCCATCCTGTGGCTTCCATTTTGGAAGGAACTGAGTCCCAAGTCCTAAAAAATGCCAAGGAGCATGATTGGCTCAGCCACCTCTCCTTTCTTTTCTAGTCACATTTCCCTGCTGTGGTGAGCATCAAGAAGAAAGAAAAAGGCAAAAATGTTGTGAGTTACCACTCACATAGTGGTAAAGGTGTGCTAGACTCCCTGACTCCATCCATCCCATGCTAATAGTCCCTGTTTCCCAGAGAAGCAGTTAGCATCCCCTCTGTCCTCCCTACTGCTGAGACAGAGCTGCCATGTGGAGGTGCAGACAAGAGAAGGTTGTACAGGGGGTGGTTGGATGCTGAAATCCAGGCCCACCTCTCTCCAGGCTCTGTTCACCCAGACAGGTGCTTTCATTTACCTTTCACAAGAGTGCTATGCTAAGGACTCCTTCTGGGTAGTATGTTTACCTCTCTCAACACACCCCCACTGTCTCTGCTAAGTTGCATGTGACATCCCCTGACCACATGACTGACCCTTCACATGGAGCTACAGGGGGAGCTAGAGTCATTGTCCACAATGCAGACAATGCAGACTGGCTCAAGTGGCGCAAGCAAGGAGGATGCAGTAGACATCTTTCCTAAAATTTAAGCTCATTTCTGTTAGTACAAATACATTCCAACCAACTTCAGAGAATGCACATAAAATAGCCCCCTTTTTGCCAATAGTGGTGGAAAGGCACTGAAAAGAAAATGGCTGCATACTCCTGGGACCCCAGAATTATCTCATATTACTTCACCACATACTCTGAGTGTATGTTTGCAGCCTATCTACTCTCAAAGAATGAAATGCCCGTGTCTCTCTCCATCTATCAGACACCTCTAGTCTTGGTTTTCTTGGGATTTTCCTTCTGTGGTTTTATTCTGTAAAAACATCTATACCCTTTCATAACAGGGAACAAACTCTTGCTAAAATACAGTTCAAACCACAAAGCCAATGACCTCTACCTTTCTCACTTCGAGTTGTGACAGAAAAGTAAAGCGATGGGATACTCTTGGAGGTTGGCCATATTACTCTGAGCTTGGCTAGGTGGGGCTTTCTCCAACTCTAGAATGACTGGCGTTTCTTTTAGAGTGAGAGGCACCTTCTGTTCTCAGGTTTGGGCCTCAGCCAATTCAAAATTCATAGTATAAATTCTACTTGGCCCCACTCAGTTGCCTTAACTATTACAAACTCTTGCAATTAACCCATATTCTTGGATTTTTCCCTTTCCAGCTCATCAAAGTACAAACTTGTTTTTTTTCTAAAAGAAAGCTAATGTATTTTGATTGAAAACTCTTAATTCTTCCACAAAACATGTAGAATAAAGTTCAAATTCAAAAACAAGAAATATCTTTGTCCTATAGCAATTCTGCATCCATTTTTCCAAAACCATGCTTTATAAAAATTCTTCTCTAGACCTGTTCAGTCCATTATCTCTTCACCAGGTGATGCAAAAGCAAGATCACTAATAGGGATTTCTCTTGATAGGAGAGGTAATCACCTAAATTGCTCCAGGGAAAGAAGCACCCCCATGTTGTAACAAAAAAATAAATGAATAAAAATAAAAAAGAGCCATGTTCAAGGCCAGAAAAGCAGACCAACGAAAACTCAGAATGTTGGGAAGAGTTATGAAAGGGGGGAGGATAAAACATGAAGGCCAAAATAAGGGGGTTTAGGTGAGAGTGAAAAAGAAAAGGTCAGAAGCAATCAGGAAGTGACTGGAGGAAAGAGGTTGTGTTTCAAACACATGGGAGTTAGTGGCCCTGCATGTGTCATCCTGGTGACTTAAGGGAAAAAGCTAAAATGCAAAGGGCATAAAATATATTTATTAGGTCTGTTTTATTTATCTCTTTCAGGAACTAAAATTCTTATAAGCTCCTCAACTGAAACAAAAGTGATATAACAACTCCACATTATCAAGCAACAATAGCTTTTAAAAATACAAGTATTTATTTAATCATGCTCCCAAAATACAAAATTTTTATCAAGAAGTTAAATTCTATTGACATTGCCAGTCTTCTAAACAAGAATCTCTACCCCTCTCCCTAGGGATGCGATGTTACAATGGATCAAGCCCAGGGACAATTTGCGTGTCATGGATCCAAGGGCTAGACTTTCCATGGGTAAGACACACCCCATCCAGAAGTCCAAGTGTATAGCTTAGACAGCCGTTTAGCCTGGAGACATGTTCCTCCACCTTTCTTCCCTTGGATTAACAGCCCTTACCATCACAGTAATCATTTTTAATGTGTCAGTTTGGGGGGCGGGCTCTGAAAGAGAGAGCGGCTCAAAAGAAGAAATGTCTTGGAAAAGCCAATTGGTATTCTATGAAGGTGGACTCTGAACAGAAACACAAGGAGAGTAGTTGGGCCAGGCACCATGGCACGCACCTGTAATTTCTGCTTATTCCAGTGGCTGAAGCAGGAGGACAATAAATTCGAGTCTAGCCTGGGCAACTCAGCAGGACCATGTCTGAAATTAAAAGGGCCAGGGTGTAGTTCAGTACAAAGTCCACAGATTCAATGCCCAGTACCCCACCACACACACACACACACACACTCACACACACACACACACACACACACACACACACAGAGTAATATAAAAGCATTTGGATCTCTAACACTGCTTTCAAGTTCATGTTCCAAGCCCCTTCTAAAAGAAATCATAGAATATATTATGACTGCCACTAGTCACAGCTCTGCATAGTTTTTTTGGTATTCTTAGGGACTAGTTTAAATTTTCCTTGGATTTATGTAGTAACTCAGTATCCTCTTAATAATTCCCTTTGGGTTTGGGATAAGGCACCTAGGTTTGGGAAAAGAGCAATACCTTAGTTATTTTCTATTGCTTGCAATCAAATTTAGATAATCTACAAAATTACTCTACAAATTTGATTATTGTGAAGCCTTTTACCTAGGAGTTAAAGCCTTTTTTATTAATTGCAATAAATATTCAAGTTGATCTGTTCTATTGACTCCAAGCAAGAAAATGATATAGGAATAAAACGAGGGTGCCCTTAACCATCTTAGTAATACCTCAACTAAACAACTAAAGCATATTAGGTTTAGTGCTGTAAAAAGGGTACTTTGAAAAGCTTGTTAAAAGAAGCAGCAAATAAACATGAGCTAGGAAGAAATAAACTCTTAATACTCTGAATTTGCTTGAATTTCTGTGTTTAAAGATTCCTGCTAAATCAGCAGATTTCTCAGAAAAAGGACATATGAATAAGAGAATTTGTAAAGAATATGTTAGGGCACTTACTTGGAATTATAAGATCTCCTTAAAGTTTTTTGCTTTTCTTCCTTTAGCTATCCAATACAGCAGTAGGTCTGCAGCAGAATTACTGCAAACTCTTCAAATAGGAGGTAACTGCTCATTTTGAGTGTAGGTGGGAAAAGTTTGATTTGACAGCAGTGAAAGAACATCCATTGATTTCATTGTATTTTTTGTTCTTCAAATACAGATTGATCTATTTTTTCAGTCTTTTCTAAGATCCTTTCCACATGACTACTTAAATAGACACACATGAGAAGAGCTTTTTGTGGGAATTCTGCAAAGTTCTCACTTAAACTATAGAATATCAGCTCAAACATACTAACAGCTGTGATCTATTATATTTTGTGAATTTAACTTTCTACCAACCATTTTCCAGAATATTTGCATTTCAAATGTATAAAGTTCCTACAGCACAAAGTATTAAATATTATTAATGTGAAAATATTACCGTGATTTTGAGAAATGTCATGGTTTTGATATTTGCCATGTTTGGTTGTATCATCTTGTTTTCCATGTCTGTACTTAGGCTGCCTAGCACACAGCAAGTACTTAGTAAATACATGTTAACTAATTAAAAACTATCATTGGAGGGCGTATTTAATCTGTCATACCTCACAGAGAGAAAGACTGAAACAAAGTAAAAAATGCATACAAAAGCGATTTCGTAGGGCCGGGGATTTAGCTCAGTGGTTTCTCCACCTGCTGCCCAAGTGCAAGGACCTGAGTTCAATCCCCGGTACCAAAAAACATGATTTGTAATTACTTTGGTTTTATACCAAGTTCAAATTTTACTTCATATTTTACTATCTTTGATTCAAATAAACTTGCTATGTTAAGAGTAAAGCATCATTTTAGAAATCTAATGATGTTTGCCTGTGCTCTTAAACATTATTTCACCCTTAGATCCCCAGTACCAAAAAAAAAAAACACAAACATTATTTCACCTTACCAGTAGTTAAATTCTAATGTTAAAGGTGTTTCTAGAAAAGCAAAATGATCAACCTAAGTTATAAAAATACTTTAGGCATTCTTTGATATTAAATCTTGCTCCTCTGTATGCTTCTGCCCCTTTATATTTATTTATTTATTTATTTATTTATTTTTGGCTTATGAGTTTCAATGAATAATCTTCATTGTTGTTACTCAAGAAACACTCTTCCATTGACTAATGAAGTATGCTGTTTATTCTTAGTCCAAAAAGATCCATTATTTCTTCTCTGTTCAGTTTATGATGAAAATTCTTCTAAGAAGTAAAATATAATCTCTCAGCAGTCATGATGAAATCAGATCAAAATTTGCTAACACAATTCATATTTTGACTGTTGAATAATATGCACCATGCTTTTCCAACCGTCCAGGTCTGCTAGGAGTCAGAAGGAATAAATTCTGAGGAAGGTAACAAGGGTAGAACTTTAGATTGGGCAATGAAAAGTTAAGATAAAAAGCCACAAAATCAAATTCTAAGAAAAAAAAATAGCACTTAGGAATTCATTAAAAGTTTTCAGCAACTATTTTGAAATATTTGTATAAAAAGTTATGGTGGTACTTTTATAATACAGAATAGCTAAAAGCATTTCAGAACAAAATGTCAACAAGTCAGAAGGATATGAAAAGCCCCTATGCAAATAAGCTGTATTCTTAAATTGTAACTGCCATTACTGCATAAAATTATATTTGCATAGTTGGAAGAAAGGAGGACAAAAATGATTAAGTTCAAATTAAAAATTATTTGAGAATCTGGTCATTACTTGCTAAAAGTAATAGTCCATAGTATTCAGAAATTTTAATATTAATGGTCTCTGGTTTTTTACTTAAAATCCAGTGTAACAAAAATTTTATAGGAAACAAATACATAAAAAATAAAATTTTTTATGCACAAGGAATAAGATTTAGATCACAGGTTTTCTATAAATTCTCATAAATATCTTTTTACCCATCAATTGTTGCTTGTTTATATATTGAATGTTGACTTTAAAGTTAATTAGTAAAAATTAGTCTGTTTCAAAATCTTTCTATGTTCCAAGTTTGCCACAGAGTAACGTGTACCCTTTTGTTATGATAATTCATCTGGACTTATTTATGCTCTCAGTTCCATAAAACGTAACAGTACCAACCATCTTTAATTGGAAAAAATATAATTAAACTTTGTTCTTCAAATTTAAAACACAGAGAACTAAGAAATCAGATGCATTTAGTTAGAAATAAACAATTGTGCATTATGTTTGGCTTCCACTTCCATTTTAGATTTATTGACCACTTGGAAAGAGAAATGAAAGTTACTGTCTTAACCCAATGCTGGGAAAATAGAAGTCTAATTACATTGTGTGCTGTTACTTTAAAAAAGTATCAAGAGTAAAATACCCTGCACCAAAGAACTAGCTGTACCTCTTTCTGTTCTTGTTCTCTGGCATAGACAAGAAAGAAGAAAATATGAGAGAAAAAATGATTATATCCTTCTCTGGCATAGGAAGAAAAAGCAAAATAAGAGAGATAAATAATTATATTTCTTTACAAATTTGTTAGAACTTCAATACCCTTAGCTGATTCACAATGTGCTTTGGATTCTATCACCATTGTAATAGCCTCTTGATAAAGATACCAACAATCTTTGAAATGAAAAATTCATTGGATTTCTTTCAATCTTCATGATCCTAGTTCGGAATGGAGCATCTCACATTGACTAATTCTCAACCTTGAACAATTCTGATGCATGGCTTCCATTACATTACTTTTCTGGGGTTTTTTCTATTGTCTTCATGACATCTTCTCAGTGACATTTTAATGTTTCTCATGGTGCCAACTGGCATGCTTTCTCTTCTAAACATACTTTTCAACTGCCCCTTATTCTTTCTTCAATGATCTGTACAATTCTACTCAAGAATCATATGCATAACTCTTCCAGATGTATCTACCTGATTGTCTCTCAAACTCCTCAACCTCAGTTTGTAAAAATTTGAATTAATTACTTTCTCTTCCAAATCTTGTTTTAATTATTCACTGCTTATTAAAGTTAAGTTAGTTCATCCATTTGCCCATGCCAGAAAGCTTACACTTGCTTTTCATTATTGCCCTTATTTCTTGTTTTTGCATGACTGTCATCTACATCCTAAACATCTTTCAAATCTAACATCCTCCCTATCTCATTCTCATTTCCAGGAATACAATATAGATTTTCATTAACTAGTACCATGACTGCTCATTGGTCTTCCAACCTCAATGTCACGTAACTTCAACTCAGGCATGTTGAAACAAAAGCAATCTTTTTAAAAGAGCAAATCTGGTCATCTGTCTCATTGAAAAGTCTGGCAGTAATTCTCAAACTCATAAGTAGCTCAAATCAGGCTTGAATGATCTTATTAATTTCATTCACCTTTATAGTTTCATTTCTTCCCACCCATCCCCCACGCACAAACTTTGACCAGACTGGAAACTATTTGTAGTTTTCAGAAAGACTCATATTCCTTCTAATTTCATCTTTTGTATACATTTATACATTTTTATACCTTCTTCCTACAGTTTTGAGCAATCGAACATATACGCATCTTAGAAGGTTAAGTATATCACACTCCAGAAAATTAAATGCACTCTCCTGTTTGGGTCCATTATGAACCTATATTATAGAGCTTTCAATTTAAAGTAAAGGTCCATTTAACTCTTCCTTTCTCCAAGCTACGATACAGACCAGGAGATATCCACATTCATCTTTTTATCATAGTATCAGGAATGGTTCTAGTGTTATTATGTCTTATATAAAAAATCTAATAACTAAATTAATGAATAGAAATTTTTAAAATCACTAAAGAGTTTGATTTGCATAAGTTTTACCTTTCTTTCAGAAGATAACATCATTTAAGAATTTTTCATCTCAAGAGATATCTAAGCATTTGTCATTAGACAAAAGAGAAAGATTCAATAACTTTGAAAAAGTGAGAACAACTAAACAAAAAAATGAATTCTTCTTAAAACATTTAAGAGTCACCAGTCAAATATTCACAGTGGGCCGTTATTTAAATTTGTAAAATTCTGTGCCTGCTTAAAATTGTTTTTTTGCTTTTGTCTACACATTTAGGGGATTATCAAGATTATAAACAAGTCATCCTGGGCTTTACATTTGGGCATATCAAAAATAAAATCTGTGACAAGAACCCAGACAATCAATTTCCCATATATTGATGGTGGTTACCAAATCTTTTGACACATCTTGTTTGCCTCTTCCACATCTCTCTGCAATCAGCAAGTTGTTAATACCAGGTTTCTAACCCAAATCTGAATACTGCCTTTCATCCTTATCAAAGACAAATAGATAGTTACTCAAACAAGTAACTGCTTTTAAAAGGTTAAAACTGTCCATGAAATATTTTTTGATTTATTAATAAAGATAGCTTCCATTGATTTACAGTATCATTCTCACCCAACTACAAAACTAAATGGGCAATGACTTCAGTTGACAAAGTTAAAGTGTATGATAAGAGATACTAAATGCATATTTTATCATTTTAGTGTATTTTAATGAGATTCTTCTCTTTTGCACAAACAGCAATAAGAATTGTTCCTGGAGTGTTAAAAGTAGGAAGAAATTGTACTTACTTCTTATTTATGTTTCATCTCATAAAATATAGCATGCCGATTTTATCTTTTGCTCACCCACTGTTTAAAGGAAACTATGTAAAAAAAAAATTTGACCTTTTACATGAATACATGTTCATATATATTTTCTCATTTCAATGACAGAAAAGCTACAGAAGAATATCATTAAAAACAAAGTAGCAAAAGGATGATTTTACAAAATACATACCCGAAGTTGCTTCTATGTGGTTTATCAAATATACTAAAGGATTTTTTCAGAATATCAGACTTGATCAGTACTAGAAACTGATATTTGCACTCTAAAGAAATGCCAATGATGCACAGCATCAACATGCGGTACCCTAAGGGACAAATTTCTTGTGATCCCTGATTATCACAATAGTTTGAAGGTGATAGAAGGATTTTAGGAAAAGTCCGTAATCAACTGTATTCACAGAATAGTCTTTAACTACTTACACTTCCACTGTACATACTTAAATATTTCTAGCACCTACAAACCCCTCAAACGCTAACATTAAATATTAGCTCTTTGGCGGGAGGCGGGGCGTGCGCTCCTGTGACATATCAATGCAGAGTTTCTCGTGCAGCTGCTCTGGCTGCTGCAAATTCTCATTTCAGGCGTGGTTTTTCACGTGCTTGTGCACCGTGGTGCTGCCAGGGCTCACTCCTTGAATGCCCAAATCTACAAATAATAATTTACATTATAATTTTCAAAATACTCCTGCCTAATATGTCAGAATATAACATATTTCAAAGATTCATGCAACTAAAGAGCTACCTCTGTGTCTCCAGGTGATATACATGTTTCTTCATCATATGCAAAGCTGGCTATTCATGAACAGACCACATATGGAAAAGTGATCAATTTGATCATGTAGTTAGATAATTATATCTAATATATACCTGACACCAATTGGAAGAGCTACAACAGGCATATAGTGCTTTGCTGGAGAAAGTGTACATAATTTAATATATATAATAAAATAACACTTTCTGAAGCTAAATCAAAATAATATATCATATGCACAGAACAGGATTATATGAGAAAAATATTCCACATATACAAAATAACATTTTCATGTATTGTTTCTTAACTTTTACCAGAGGTAGGAGTGTGTTTTGAGAAAGAAGAGAAATAATATTGTCTGGTTCAACATCAAAAGAAAATAGCATTGAAATGTTATGCTCTGAGTACTTGAAAACCCTCAGGAAGAATTCCAGTTTCTGGTCCAAAAAGTAAAGGAGACTGAAGTTGACACTCTATACTAATAACAAGTAAAAAAATTCCAAAAACAGAAAAATCAACAACTCTTCATAGACCCACAAGAGAATTGAAGTTTCAGGGTAAACTGTTGCCTCCAAAATTGGAGAGACAGGACGATGAATACAGAGAATCACAACTTACTGAAACAGCTCCACAAGGAACCAATCCCAGGGTGAAAAGATTCAATCTGTAATTAATGAACTGCTGGAGCCTAGGTATGGACAAATCAGTCAAAGCATGAAGGTGAATTAGTCATAGGGAAACTATGCTTAATTTTCATCTCCAGAATCTCCACCAGCTTCTCATAGTCATTATCAGAGAAAAATCCCCTCCTGCTTCCAGAAAGATGAGTAAAGTAACCATTTTAAAAATATACCGAGCATTCTGTTCTTTTTTACAAGGTCTGACCACATGAAAAACTATATAAGAACAGCCTACCCTGCTAGGGATTTATCAGAGCTAACAGAGCTAGGGAGAAAAAAATGCTTAACTTCAGAGCACTCTAGCAATCCTACTTAACAAAAGGTGGACTGAA